CAAATCATCTTAATATTAAAATAATACAGTTTTTATAAAATGGAATAAACTATAAACCTCTTTCTTTTTGTCTTTTTCCCCACCTCATTGACCCTTTTTTTAATTCTTTCTGTCATGTGGTCACTAAGAAGGCCTCTTTTTTGCAAGCCAATTATGGGTTCGGCCAGGCCCACAATGTGGCAGCCGGGTAATAAGAGACGGGGCTCGACATATCCGTTCGGCCCACCCCCGAAAAATTCCTGGGAATTTTTCGACCCGTCTGGATCCGATCCAGGGTCCCCAGAGCCGCAGGCTGCCACTTTGACCGCTCGGCCATCCGGGAAAATTTTATCCTTTATTACAGGCTACTCAGTCATCGTAATATGCAAAAAAAAGAAAAATTAAAAAACATTTCAGAGTGATGGCATAGTAAAACAATAAAAATATATTAATTACCACATTCGCCAGGATGACATTAGTATTTAAATAAATCTGAAACGAGTTGCTCAACTTTCCCGGCAACATTAAAAATTTTGGTAGCGTCATCTCTCAACGTATTTTATTAATACAACTTTTTTATATTTTTAACTATTATAAAATGGCAAAAAACTTAATTTTGAGGGTAGGGATGAGTCTTATAACAAATTGTAAATGCTAATGAGTAAAATCGTCATTAACTCCGACCCTACTCCAGACACACACGATCTCCATTATCTACCTACTCCTTCGACCTTTAACCTTCAAAATTTAATAGTTTGGATGCCTCTAATACATAAATCTTCCTGCAAAATTTCAGAAATTTTCGACAAAAGGCACGGAAGTTATTAAACTTTAAAAAGGGCGAACAATATCGTGCTTCACACACACAGACAGAAAAATCCCCAACTTTTTTTTTTGCATTTCTCGACGTTTCCAGTCTCAAGTCCAAGAATGTAAAAATCCTTAGGGGTCATTTCTTGTCCGATCGCCATACTTTCCTATTGTTATATATAACAGTCGGAAAAATAAAAACGAAAGATAAAAAATCTATAAATTATACGTAGATTAACTTTTGGTCGGACGAAAATCGGTTTTGTTCGAAAGTATACCTAATAATAAAGTAAATTTTAAGAGAATTTAACTCTCTCTAACAAGTAAATAATCTCAAAGCGTTTCTATTAATTTTCCAGACTGCGTTTTAAGGCTCTAAAGTAGAAAATTGGTCTTTGTTATAAAAAAAAATTACCGTCAGACATCATTAAATACTACTTTATCAATGTTATTTTGTAATTTTTAGCCCGTCGGGAAGGGTGCGAATTACGACATCCGCTCGTTACGTCGTTTGGGAGAACAATAAATTAGTCCTCGTCCTTGATATTCGTCGGTGGAGCTAGAATCGATGGAAACAAATTACCTTTAATAATCGTCTGGCCAAATATTACTTAAATTGTAAATAAAACATAAGAGGGTCGAGGGCGGTCGTCTTTTAATCCGGACTCTCCTGGCCGTGGTGATTTACGTCCCGATTCGATCCCTAAAACTAGGAGTTCGGGTGATTTTATTAATAAACACGTCGACGAGGAAAGAAGAGAGATCGTCGCCCACTTACCCCACCGGAATTGGCTAAAGGCACCAATAACGTTTACTAAAGAGTGGCAAAAAAATAATTGTGAATTCTCCAAATTTGGGAACGATGCCAACATCCTGTCTGGTGTGGGTTAACTCCCGCTAATAACCTTCTCTCCTTGTTTATCGAAACTTTTACAAACTTTCGTTTCTGTTATTTATCCTTTCGTAAAAGAAAATAAACATCAGAGTTCAACCTTGATTTTCTTTAACATCCCTTTAAACCAAAGAATGATCGTCACCGATTGTTTTTCTACACCGAAATACATTGGAGAAAATCATTTTCCCAGCAATTCTTATACCGACGAAAGAAACCTTGTTAAGACGTATTAAATTTACCGGTGTATATTTTTGACGTGTAGATTTTCACTTGGACTTTTTTCTAAGTTGAATACGTGGTACTTCGATTACAAATAAGTAACCGGGATGAAAATATAGGCCATAAAATAAGTCCTACGCCGTATGCCGTAACGTTTGTTTCTATCGCATCGTTAATATAATACAGGTTTTGGTTCCGCAAATGATTATATTGATCTATGACGCTATAATAAATTATCCAAAATATACGAATCTTAATCTGAATAGAGGAAGATGACTCGTTTTCTACAATTCTTTAAATTTTCGTCCGCCCTCTCTTCATTTAAATATAAAATACCACTGTATATGAGTGACGTCTTATTTAAAAGACGTTTTAAAAATTGATTAAAAAGTAATTCCGTATTTAAATAATAATCTTAATTTTATTATATTCACTTTCTAAAAATCGTTTGATGAAATTCCTCTTTACTTATTTATATATTCGAGTGCCAACGGTTTACTTTCGGTAATGATATAGAGTGGCCCGAAAGTTAGGTAACCGTGATTTTAACAAGAAAATAGTTGTCGAAAATGCGTAAAAAATATGCTATTTCGGTATTGGACGTAAAAAAATATCATTCTGTATTGTTTTTTGCAAAGTTTATGAGTAATAAAAGTATTTGAATAAGAAAACATTTAAAGAAAAGACACGGCATCGGGAGGCGACTCTCACCTTTACGGTCTTTGGCAAAATGCATTTCGACCTATACTCTTAAGAATGGTCCACTTCGGTGATTATTATTAAAGGGCGCACACGTATTCGCTAGTGGCCCAATAGCGAGGTTGCGGCCGACGTTTTCAATGCGAAATCGTATACGTCGAACGTTCAGTGCCCACATTCTGTAAGCTTAGAAGTTTCACAATGGCGTTTGGAAAATATATATTTGTTAAACTTCTAAGCTTACAGGATGTCGGCGTTGAACGTCTGACGTACATGATTTCGCGTTGAAAACGTCGGCCGCAACCTCGCTAATACCGTCAAGGTGGCAGCCTACCGCTCTGGGGGACCCGGGATCGAATCCGAACGGGTCAAAAACTCTCCAGGAATTTTTCGGGGGTGGTCCGTCCGGATATGTCGGGCCCCGTCTCTCATTACCCTGTCGCCCATTGTGATCCTAGCCGAATCCGTAATGGGCTGGCTAAAAGAGGCACTCTTAGGCTGTGTACACACTAGGCGTTTTGCGTTGCATTAAACGCAAAACGCCTAGTTTTGCGTTGCATTAAACGCGCGTTAGCAGCGTACACACCAGGCGTTAGCTCGGCGTTAGACGAGCGTTTAGTGGAGCATACGCACTGGCTCAGTTTGGAAATGGATGTGAAAGTAATTGCTTCTGTGCCCCTCCTCCATCGTCGCTATAAAAGACGATGGCAGAGGCAAAGAGAATTTTGGGTGCACCCAATATTACGAGATAGACTGACACATGGNCGCACTGGCTCAGTTTGGAAATGGACGTGAAAGTAATTGCTTCTGTGCCCCTCCTCCATCGTCGCTATAAAAGACGATGGCAGAGGCAAAGAGAATTTTGGGTGCATCCAATATTACGAGATAGACTGACACATGGAATGTTTGCGACGTTGTATCCAAAACTAAGACAAAATAAACCCAAGTTTTTAAAATTTTTTTAAATATCTATAAAATCCTTTGACAATGGTTGGCCTCTTTTAGATTTCATCAATAAATAGATCAGTATAGAAATGATCGTTCTCCATTTCGGCCAACGTACGTCCACTCTACCCGAAAACGCGCGATCGAATGTACAGTAACATGGCAGCACATATATCTCAAAGCGCTAGGCTGACTCCCGCAAAACGCACGTTTTAAGAAAAATCTATAAACGCGCGCTTGGCCAAAAGCGCGCGTTTGAGTGTGTACGCCTTTGCAGAACTCTTGGTTCGTCAAACGCGCGTTTAAAAACGCCTAGTGTGTACGCAGCCTTAGCGTCCACAGGACGGAAAGAATTAAAAAATGCTAATAGTGTTAATCGTAACTGTAAAAGCGGTGTCACAAATTATTGTTCCATTTTCTACATCTCGGACGAACGTTGGTCGTCAAATAATCGTACGTGTGTACGTGTGCCGAACGACAAACACTTGGTCAAATACTTTGGCCAAAAGCAGATAGATATTCGGCATTCGACAAATACCGAATGTGTGAAAATTTAATAAATTTTGGAACTGAATCGAACTAAGACGCAGACTTCGTGGAGATAGGCCGAAGTCTTAAGAATTTTTTATAAATAAAGACAAATTTATGTGATTATAAATAAAAAAAACATTTAATTAATTTTGTAATTTTACTGTATTCCGAACGGAATTAGATAAATTACCGTAATGATTCTGTTGTTAACAGAAAAAGTACGACGTATAGACAATACTAAAATTGAGAGCATTGTGACGAAATATTTCAACACGGTATTGTGACGTCACAAGAAATAGTTGCTGGGTTGAGGTTCCTTTCTAATACATCAATATGATTTGGGGCAGAAATATTTAGTAATGGTCAAAACATGAAATTTGAAAAAAACGGAAATAAATCTAATACGAATGAAAACCAACATTTTGTATATTTTTTTCACGAATATATTTTCAATATATTATCGTCTGATGATAACTTTTTAATTGAGATTCTTTTAAGAAGAATAATTTTGTAAAATCGAACTCGATCAATGGCCGGAGCGGCCGGAGCGTCGGCCTACCGCTCCGGGGCCCTGAAATCGAATTCCAGGAATTTTCCGTGTGATGATTTGTCCCGGATGCGTAGGACCCCGATCCTCCCTATCTGGCCGAACCTACCACTCCCAAAACGGCCCTCTTAAGCACAAAGAGAGAAAAGAGCAAAAGAAAAAAACCCTTGTTCTTCAGATTTGTCACGTCATCGATCGAATTTTTAAAATATTTTACAAAATTTTTTTTGCGAAATAAAATTAAATTAATATTTATCGATTTTATTTAATTTTAAAATTAACCGTAATAGTATTAAACGAATATTATCGAGAAAAATCATAAATTTTTTAAAAATTTCATTTATTAATAGCGCTATTTTCGAGCGACAGGGAGCGCTGTCGGGTTGTTTGGTTTGTGTAAAAGGGTTAGTGTGTTTGTTACTATTTCTCCGTTTCATGGAAATATTTTACGAATCGACAATTTTACGATAATATTTAGAATAACGATCGAAACGAATTCTAATATAAAAGTGTAGATATCAAAAAATGTCCGCGAAGACGAATAAAAGGCGAGAGGAAACGTCCTGCCCCGCTTCTAACAAGAACTGGATGATAGGTAAACATTCCGTTTCTTAACTAAACACTACCATTTCTTTCAAATGTAAACCGAGAAGTAATGTTTTGCTGTTTCTTCGTGAAAATCTAATGCAAGTTTAAATTATGTAAAACGTTGGATTATACAAACATCCAATGATACGTTGTGAAGGTAAATTAATTTGTTTAATTCTTTATATATGTCAGCAAATGAAGCATTGTGATCCGGACGGTCGCCTGGCATTTAGTTGTCTCAGAGCTGTCGCGGATCTGGATTCGAACCGTATGTCTGGGATTTGACTCGGGCGCCGGGTATCGGGGTGTCGTTCTCTGTCTCTGCGTTGTCTTCTCCGGCCTTTCTTGGATCAAGTTTCGGGTAATTTTACACGCTTGGTCCATGCTGTGTCAGTTCTCGCCTAGACGAATTGGGCATTTGGTTGGAAATATATTATTTGCAGATCGTTACGTTGGAGTGTGTTTTGAAAATTTCGTCTTTAAAATGAGCCGTCTGTAGTTATTTAAGATAAAATATTAATAACGAAGGCTCGATTCTGTCTTAACCATTTTTATTTTAATTTGACAATTATAAATTTTGTAAATTTGTATGGTATGTATGTTTATGTGTGTTTGCATAGATGAGTTTTATGTAAATAATTATATTAAATTGTCAAAAATATGAATTTGGTTGTTAAAAAATGGATACAAATTCTTCTAGTGTCAACTTTGATTGGTGTCCTTTCTTGTCGATTGTTGATGAAAGAGGCTGTATGGGTTATTATTCATTGCATCAATGAAGTTATTTATAGTATTTATTTATATGCAATGAATAATAACCCGTATGGCTTCTGCATCAAATTGGACCAAATAAGCAATTTAAATGCAACCTTTCTTGATATCAGTATACAATTAGATGGCGACGGGATATTGACCAAGGTCCATTACAAGCCATGCTACACGCCTCTATTCATCCCTGCCAATTCTGTTGACCCCTTTTCGTACAAGGTAGCGGCGTTCCGGGCCCTAACTAAAATTCAAAATTCAAAGATACATTGGCAGAATTACAACGCATCCAGAACATAGCCACGTGACACAGATATGGGCGAAGATTAATTCAGAACCTTGCGTTTGCCTATTCATCGCAAGTATATAATAATGACAATGATAGCTCATGCATGAACAACTTCAATAATTTTCAATCTTTGGCTGTAGTTGAATATAACCACCACCTTGATCCGATTTACAGAGAAATTGCTGCATGTACAAACAAGAGAATTGCATATAAGAGGCGTAGTACTATTTATGACATTCTGCGCAACTGCAAAGACAACATAGACAAAAGATTTGCTCCAGGGGTATGTTCTGTCTCATTAAGGGACCATAGATTTCAAATGGACCTTATATATATTGGCTCTTTGATATGCTCTCTAGATAAGCGTATACGTGAACACAAATATGACATTGATCATAACAGATGCACCACTGCCCTATCTACTTATGCTTCGATCCCGGGCATAAGTGCCGACTTGCATAATGCACAAATCACTAAACTTTCTCACAGAAGGGAACACATACAAACACTAGAAACTCTGAAAATATATAAAGCGGGGTTACGCAATAACTGCATCAACTATAAGGATGTGATTAATATTTCTACAGCTTGAAAGTTTGTTTATGAAGGAGAAGGCCCCCACAACTCTATTTAAGGTGTTTTCCACCATTTCATGTGGGTGTAAAATAATATTTTTTAAATATATTTTTGTTTATGCCATGCTTGATATGCATGCGCATAATGAATTTTATACGCAAAGTTGGATATGTTCCAAAACTTTTAAATCTTTAAGCACAACGGCTTTTTGAATCTCGGAACTTTTAACCTGAAGAAGGCTGAAGAATACGGTTGAAAACCTTTGTTGTTTTTTCAATTAAATATTTTACTGGTCACTTAAAGGTTTCTGTGAGTCTATTATATAGTGTATGTGGAGTTTACTTAAATGTTAATTTATGTTTAAGTTTGAAAATTGACATGGAGTCTGGCTTCAATTAGTTTGGGCTTCACTATATATGATTATTGATCAGTCTTTGAAAAAAAAAAATGATTACAAGTATCAGAAAACATTATAAATTCTGAAATATTTTAAATTTTCAGGCAAATATTTTAGCATAACATTTTCTTCAAATAAAAAAACAGCATATTGCAAATATAATCCTGTAATCTTTCAGATATAAAAATTAAATTAAGAATGATAATACATAAATATAAACAAGGAAAACAAAATTATTTTTTTAATTAATTATGTTTGTTTATAAAAGTGAAATAGTTTTTTTTTCTTTTCAAAATTAGGAAGTGACAAACTTTGTCTAAACTATTCATTACTTAACAGAAATCAAAGTTTAGTCATCAAAAATAAATATTAGTTTAGTTGTTATAAATCCTTAATTCTTAATTTATTATTATTATTTATTAAATTATCTTTCAAATATTAAATTTTGTCTGCCAGGTGCCAGGGTATAGTTAAGGTGTTAGCCTACCTATCTGTGCTGACGTGGGATCGAATCTGTACGGTGGAAATTTTTTTGGGATCGGCTGTTCCAGATATGTCAAACACCGTCTCTCACCGTCTGGCTGCCCATTGTGGCCCGGCCTGGGACTGAAAAAGACCCTTTTATTGACCATAGGGCAGAAAAATTTAAAAACAAAAATAAAATTATCTTTATAATTAAAGTACATTGTATAAAGAAAAGTTAAAAAACAGTGAAATATTAGAGTAAAATGATTTGATTAACTGAAGTACTTGAAAATATTTAAAATATGTAAGCTAGTATGAAATATATAGCTTGGCATTTTTGTTGTTAAGTAATGAATTTAAAAAATATGTATTTAAGATTTCAAAAAAGTCGTAATCAAAACTGATGTCATCTATACAATAGAAAATTATGACAAGAATTAATTTCAACAAAATAATTTTAGTTTTAACTCATAATTAAGTAATTAATCATAGAATGTTATTAATGATTCAATTATTATTTTTTGACTTTGTTATATTTATATGATTAACTTAGAATAAAAACAATATTTATTCTATAATTTTGTTTATTTTAGAAAATAGTTAAAACTGAATTAAAAATTAATTTTAAGTTAGTTTGAGTTGACAGGAAAAAATGAATTCATAATTCAAATACATCTTGCAAAAAATCAGTCATATATATCAGTCAATATTTTTATCATTGTTTCTGGATTTGGATTAGGATGAAAATATTTGTTCCAGGAACTGTGTGTCATATTTCCAGACTATTGATTATGATGATTCATAGATATTTTCATGCAGAAAGGTCAAATATCTTGTAGTTAAGTTAACATATAATTTGAAATCAAAGACATTTGTTCTAATGTTTTGTACTTTATTTCAAAACTGTATAAAAATCAACAGTTGCATAATATAATTAAAATTAGTAAGACATATTACTGCAAGTATATTTATCGAGAATATCTTACTTCTGTCTAGATAAATATTTTTTTAATTATAAATATTTTAAGTTACTTTTGTATTCTGCTGTAACTGAAGAATTCATTCTTGTTTCAACGGTATTGTATGTATTCATTGTATTTTGTTTTCTGTAATATTAGATTTAATATATCTTTAATTAGATGAATCATTAATAATAATAATTATGGTTTAGGATATTACTCAGTGTATGTCCTAATTTATTAATCATTTCAGTTTAATTCATAAGTTTTTATCAGATGCATCAATTTTTTTTTCACATTCAAACTTCATCTTCATTGGAAATAATTATATATTAATTATTTGATTGGCATGTTTTTTGTGGATTGTTTTTCTATGTCTGTATTAACAAAGAACTCATTATATCATTATCTTGAATGATTTTGAAATATTCCTAATGAAAAGAACAATTGACAAAATTCAAGTATGCTAAATTTTTGTTCTTTATGTTTAATATTTTAGTACTTTTTAAGTTCTTTGTAAGAGATAAAATATTGAATTATTAATTTATTAAATTTTTCTCAATTAGATATTTTAAATTGATCAGTCTTTTAAATAATTACAAATTTTTTAAATTGATCTACTTCATACACAATAATTCTGAAGTCTTTTCTCCTGATATGAATCTGTTCTTTTCTGGTTTTTTTTTTTTAATTTTTGTCAAAATTTAATTTAAAGGGATAATTATTTGTTTTTATTGTTAAAAATTAGATTTTCCTACATAGTTAATTATTATATTTCACTTGTGTGAAAACTTTTTAACAACTTTTTAATTTTAAATAAAATTTTTATTAAGAATATTTTAATTATTACATGAATATAAAATGAAATTTATCTGTTTACTAGGACTTTATTCTCTTAATTCTAAAATAGTGTTTTAAAATATTTTTGAAACATTAAGCTGTAATAGATTTTGTTCAGAAATATGTCAAAAAATAAATATGATAACATAAAAATGCTTTTGAAAAGACATATAAACTACACAGGCATTTCCTAGTACAGTAGTTGTAAATCTATATATTTAATATTTAGTATATATGTGTTAACTTATATCTTAGCAAACTTATAAAAGAAATGACCTATTTATTCATCTTAATATAATTTCAGTAATTTAAAATCTGATTCACTTTACTTTAATTATATTTTATTTAGCTAATAATTTAATAGATATGATTGAAGTTGTAATAATTAATTTAAAATATTCTAATTATAGATTTGTAAGCATTTATCAGATTTTTTTTATTTCACAGCTTTTAGTAGAAAGCAATTTTTTTTCCTTTGCAAATTCTAAAAAATAAGCTTTCGTCTTAAAAAGAGTTGTGAAGCAAAACATAGTAATTTATAATTCATTATTATAAATTTTGTAAATAATTATACGAGGGCTGTTCAAAAAGTATCAGACCTTTGGTCGGCAAAAATACATTTATTGATTTTGAGGTACAAAACACTAATCCCCTTCAAAGTAGTCTCCTTGGTAGTGTATACACTTCTCCCAGCATTCCTGCCATTGCTGGAAACA